TCAAAAACCATACTTTTGGCAACTTGAACTGAATTCAATTGTTTTCAAGTTATTTTCAAGTTCAATTGGAGCCATAAGTTTTTTTCACACTTCTTCAGTCAAGATAAGTAATTTAACAGATATTGAAATAATTCCGGTTTATTAAATAAAATTGGTATGTATTGTCAATTTTATTAAAAATCGAATTAATCAAATTCTTAAAGCTTAATTTAATTATAAATTTTTATAATGATTTGCGCTGTCCAACTAGAATTATATAGATACTTTCACTATCATATGAGTAAGAATTGGTTTTTTTAAATAAACAATCCCATTATCAAATTTTTGAAATGTCTTAAATCACATATATTAGGCGGTAGAACTGAATTAATAAAATAATTGATGTAATAAATTATTTTGGGTCAGTTTGTTAAGGAGCGCTGACTCTGAGCTTCAAATTTGGCAGAGCACGAACTCCATTCGTAGTACTTGCAGTCTCAAAAAATTAATTACGAATAATGAAATATAATTATTTCCAAGACCACTGATAATGGGTATTTGACAATACTCGAAACAACTGTATGGTCAGCCAAAAATTCAATTAATTAAAATAATATAAAAAAATCGTTGTTTTTGTAGTTCACTACTTTTCGAAAATGTCCTTATAAATAATTTTTGCAAAATATTTAAAACCACACTTTTAAAAAGAATTTTAATTAAATTAAGATTAAAATACACAAAATTATTATACAGATTATATCACATCATTTCCTTTTTATTTTCGTCGCTTTGTCCAAAAGTACACTTCTTTCTAGAAATTGGAAGACGAATGCTACATATTTTATTTTGCGTTACTAGTATTGCTTAACGATATCCAAGCATTTGCATGAAATTTGGCCACGTTACAATAAAAAGAAATCAAACTCCCTTTTGAGATGGTTCGTAGAGATAACCATGCTAGAAGACTAAATCTCCCTTTCAATCATACCTGCCGCAGTTGTGGTGAGGACAATAAAAGTACCTCCCATCTGCTTTGTTTCTGTCCAGCACATCCGCTGCACCGTCTTATTACTTTAATGGCTTTCTTTTTTGAGGATCTTGGCAAACTTCAAGACCTCGCCTCGAACCCTTGAGTTTTTAATTATAGGACAAGTGGACCCTTTAGGACCGCCGGTATAACCTACCTATTAGTATTGCTAGTATTATAACTAAAATGAAAACTGAAATTGCACTAAAAATTAAAAGATGAGTAATTCACTTTAGCAACTATATTTCATTAGTATGAAATAATACATCTAAAAAAGCTACAAATGTTCTAAGACCTGAATAATTCTGCTCGTTTAAGAACATATATTTCAAATTATTTAATTATTTAAAATACATTTATAATAAGATAATAATAATAAATATATATATTATAAATGCTAATATACCCCCGTATCTCAAAGCTTTCTATAGACATTAAGATTGGAAATGATAATAAAAAAGTAAACACCATAAAAATGCCACTGTCTTCTATACAAATTTAAATTAAAAAATTACACATCTTTTTTATTATATTATATCATAACGAAAACTATTTTTATTACGAAAAAAGAAATAATAAAAACAATGATTATTATTAAATTATTCTTAAGAATCACAATAAAAATATTTTGAATTCAATAAAGAAAAAACTTAATACTCTGAAGCAACAATTGCTATAAATTATGTTCTTTTAATATTAAATTTTTGTTTATGAACGTTAAAAACAAATTTTTAATATACGCAGAAGAAGAACGCAAATACATATTTAATTCTTAGAACCATTAGTCTCTGGGTTATGCCAAAGTTTGACTAACGCTCTTAACATTTAACTTCGACACGATTATCGTTTACTTGCGTCTACTTAAGATATGATGATTAATTCTTATTCGGTTTACCTCAATTAAAAATCATACTCCAAACGTAGATATAAATACATTTATAAGATACTTTTTTATTTACTAAGGTTGAATGTAATTACCCTAAATGAACTATTTAATACTAGTTGGATTAGTAAATAGGTTTATAGCAGAGTTTCTTACATTTAAGTGTAGTGTATTTTAAATATTTTGTAACAGATTTTGGTATTCAGGTTTTAAATAAGAGGAAGAAATTTGAGGTAAAAAAATCATAGTCTTTAAGAACTAAATGTCTTTTCAACATTTATATATTTCAATCATTTTTACAGTTTTTGTGTTCATTATAAAATCTTGACTCAAAAACTAATAAGGTCGTGTGCGAGTTCGAGTAAATTGAAGTAAAGTAAATTGAAATTATTTATGGATTTTTGGCACTGCACTTATGTAAATATTTGTTCATTTATTTATTGCACTTATTTATTGTTTTTGACTAAAAACTTTTAAATTTATTTATTTATTTATTAATTCTGGTAAATACCAACATTCGCTGCCATACCGATATAAATAACTATCTCCATCAATTTACCATCAATTTACAGGAACTCGCACACGGCCTAAATCATTTATATCAATTCAAATGCTTATTACAAAGCTCATATAATACGTTAAAAAATATTTAAGTACAAGACGAAACTGTCATATATCCAATGATTCAATTATATATACGAGTATCTTTTTGTTTAGTGCAAGCAACAAAATAAAACTGAGAGAGATGTCTATAATATAAAACTTGATATTACTGAGCAAAAAAAATTTTTTTTTTAATCATAAGAGGGGAAATATTTGAAGTGGAATGCCGCACCGCATCGATATTATCAAATCAGAAGAAAGTGAATTAGTATCACTGAAATCAGATAAAAGGTCATGTAATCGGGAAAACTACTGCCAGGCGAGTAAAAGTATGTAAATCGAACAGCTGATAAAATCGTAGAGTAGTGAAGAAGAATTCACCAACGAATTGTTAAAATCTTAGAGTAGAGATTGTTGACCTCAAATAAGCGAAATTTTTCCATGGTCTGCATGAGAAAAATTTTTATAGGTAAATTGCTTATAATTACGTTTATTAACACATATCCACTGTCTACTTCGATATTTGGTGTATATAGGTGTGACTAGATGTGACTCTCTAGTTTCGTGTCTTACCTATAATTTACTCTTCATAAATGCGGGATATATAGGGTATGTTAACTGTAAAACAAAAGAATCAAATACAGATTTCACTACAAAAATAAATTTGAAGTGAATATTTCGATTAATGTATTTAATATAAATTTTTTCTTTTTATAATTTATTACTGTTCAAACACTTATTTTGTATAGCACAGCAGACCCTCTATACAACGGTGTTGTACAAATCCCTTAAGTATTTACGCCGTTCACTAAACAATGCTATTAAATTATTATTATTCTTAACTAATTTTTTTCTCTAACTTAACTTGATTGAAATATAATAAAGGATATGTATATGTATATCATAGCTAAAATTATATTGAAACGAGCTCCTTTAAAAATACAGTTAAAAATACAGTAGCTGCTGACTATAACATGGATAAAAAAATCTGCAGACGGCTGCTTATTTCAAAAATCTTACACTTTGCGAAGCTACTTTATGTTCTAATACTATGCCACTATATCGACAACCTTACTGTATAAGACCATTATTCTCCTAACAATTTTTACATAAATATTAGGAACTTAGGCGCTAAGCAAAGAGCAACCTGATCTCTAAACTACGTTTGGAAAGAAAAACACAGTGAAGATTTATTAGCTGCATATATCAGGAAGATCGAGCTCAAATATGTTTCATTTTTGCAATGAATTACTTTAGTTTCAACAGATACTTAAAATCAAATTCCGAAGATTGTTGTGAGCTAGTCATGCACCTCGTATGACATTGAGATATGATTGGGATCGGTAATAGACTTATTGAAAGATTCTAAGATCGAAATCTATTTTAGAACGAAGTGAAAAGTTTAATATTATTATACATTGTTAATATTATTAATAATTTGTTTATCTTGCCAGAGCTTTACGATTACTTTTAATAGATTTATATTGAAACTATATGCGAAAACCGACAGAATGCCCTACTTATCACTATCTTACCTCAAAATAATCACTAAACGCACGGGGCGGTATGCAAATCTTAGATCAGTCATTGAATAATCATGAAGCTTATGAGGAATACACAAACTAGTCAGTGAGATGGGTGGGACTCTGCAGAAATCCCCTAGCTAACAAAGAGTAAAAGTGCCCAGATGGAATAACTCGGAAAAGACTGAAGATATATAAGTGATTATAAACATATTTTAAAAAAAGCATATATGTTTTTACAAATATTTTTTTTCATCTTCACTTTTCAAAATGAGTCGGATACAAGTCTATGAACGTGTGACCGTTTTCAAAAATTATTTTATATGGTGAAAAAATAATGCTGAGAAGAAATATTATACACTTGCCTAGTTAAACTATCTCAACATCTGCGGTATTAATTTTTACATTGTTAGACTACCAGACAAATGGACAAAATCTAATCGCTTTCGCTTTATGATAAGAAATACATATGATTTATGTGACCTCTAAAGTCTGCTTCAGCACATTACAAACAGCTTAAGTACCTGTGATTTACTATAGCGTGAACGATGACTTATAATTCCATTAATTATTAATTTAATTAATTACTTTCGTTTCTGCCAACTTTTAAAATAACTGCAAAAAAAAACTTTTTTGTCTTATCTGAACATTCATAGTTTTTCAATTAATCTCTGCTTGTTCAGTGTTAACAACTTTTATATCTTAAAGATCAAACATAAGCCTGAGTGTAGTTAGCAACATCTTATAGTAAGTTATAAAACTTTACTATTATATAACTTTAAAATTAATTATTATTTATAAATTAATAAATTTAATTATTATATAAAAAAATTACTCAAAGTAATTTTTTCTAAATACAAAATAATTTTCTACTTCATCAAATTATTAATACGAGGCTCTTCGAATACCAAAATTCCCCACTTAAAATTTATTTTTATAGAAAAATAATTTTTTCAAATTTTTTTAAACAAGTTTTATTGGCACTTATGTGAGTTTTTAAAGCACTTTTAAATATGCTTGAATTTTTTAAATAAATAAAAATAAATAAAATTAAATTCAAATAAATAAGGTAGAATAGTTTAAATTAAATCAATCACATTTAGTTCAGCACATTCAAGTAGAGAACACTTCTAGCTTTGATATCGTTGAGAAAACTCAATTGGTTGGAACTTAAGACGTTGTAGGTATTTTCTAAAATCAGCTTCATTACTAAAGTCTTTAATAGGAAACTTTCCAAATCGACCATTCACTTTGGCCACAGCATAATACACTGGATAAGCGCCTGGCGCGAGATGCACACGCATTGTTTTACTCAGCACTTCACCATCTTCCAAGCCATTTGCTTGATTGTACAAAAAGTGCAAATGCTTTTGCTTTTGTTGTTGCTTTTGTTTGCGCGCTTTGACCTCACGGTGTATGGGTGAATCAGTGACTGCATTTAATTCCAATGGACGTGGCTTACGTAGTCGTTTGGAGTTTACGTAACTGCGGTAGAACGGCTGCAATGATTGAATTTTGAACAAAGACGAGTCCATATTGCCAGAGGGGTCATCTTTAACAGATGGTAAATCCAATGGATTTACACGTATGACCTTTTGTGTCGTGTTCTCCACATCTGGTATGACATCCTCTGAAATCACCACAAATTGTGGTTCATTTGTGCGACGCTTTGCTTCAGCTTCGGCAGATGCTTCAGCTTCAGCAGTGGGTGCGGTAT